CGACTAAGTTATTTTCGAATAAGTTAAGGTGTCCGGTAGGCTTCTAGGTTTTTCCTCTTCGAGAGCTAGAGATCTGATGGGCGTAGAGAGAGCTGAGACACAGGCTAGTTAATGGCGCAGAGACACACCCGGCGGCGGCGGCGGCGGCCTTATATACCTTCCTCTGGTTCGATGTTTAATGGTAGGGAGAAGAGGTGGGCCTTTTTGGTGATTGGTGGGTCGGCTGCTGGAGCTATCCCTTCCTGCTATGAGTTTGCGATGTGGTGGGTGAGAGTTTTGTGGTAGGGATTGCAAGTCTTGCGTCTTAGATTTATTAAATAATTTTAGAATAATTTTTAATAATGATTTTTAACAATCAGAATTTTTTTATAATATCGTATTTATGTTATTAGAAAATTTGAGTTCGATTTATAACAATTGTTTAAATTTTAAGTGATATTTTGGTAAATTCTGATGTATTAAACCATTATTATTACAATGATTTTTACAATGGTGCGTATATAGTTAAAATTAATAATTAGTGATTAATTAATATTTAGTAAATTAATAATTAGTAATAATTAGTAAAGAAAAATTTAGCATTTGGATTGCAGATTCTAACGCAACGGATGCGAAGATGGCTTATCTCTTTTTCTAAAAATAGATATGCTGGATGTCCTTCGAAGAATGCTCACTGCATTCTTTCTCTTTATAAGACGCATTAGTAACAGTAATATTTTTTAATGAATTACCTTTTAAAATTCGTTTACGTGGTTTAAATTGGCATATTACACGTATTATTTCCAGGTTTAATAATTATCTTAAGACTAATTATTAAGATTTATCATTTACAAGATATATTTTTATTTATTTAATAAAGGCTTTAACAATTAGAATTTTTGTGGTTTTATATGTATATATTTTAAAATTTTCAAAGTCGACTTTTAATGATTACTCAAGTCTATGAATAATATTTTAATAAATTCTAATGCGTTAAGCCATTATTATTACAATAAATTTTACAATAAGAATATATGGAAATTAATTATCGCTTCGCTTAATAGTTATTATGTCGCTAAAAGAAATTTTATTCTTACAGTTCTCGGAACAACGTATGAAAAAGCGGCTCGTTTTACTTCTAAGAATGATCACGACGGATGTGCTCGAAGAATTCATTGCACGCTCTACCGTGATCTTTTATTCAAGAGGTCTTTTGATTCTGACAATATTTTATTCTTTGAAGATTTTCATTTGGGCGACTTTTATATTAGCACATATATATATATATATATATGTATAGATATGTATTCGCATATTGCTTATGAAAATTGATTTCAGCAAGTTTTTACTGAATCGTATTTAATAATCATCGTATAAGATTAATAATTATTGTATAAAATCTTGGGGTTGTTAATATTAATTATTTGTTAATATTCGTAATATATATATATATATATGTTTTGTGTGCTGATTAATTTTGTCGCGGTAGCAGTCTATTATATCTCCTCCTTTGTTTTATTGTTAAATTTGTTACAAAATGTATATGCATATAGCATGCATATACATATAGGGATATTGTTGGACAAGTTAATATATATATGTGTCAATTTCTATCGCGACGCGTATTTATTGTATTTATACCGTTATTTTATTGAATTTGGTTATAAAATATATATGCGTATATGTAAATTTAGTCAATTTATATGTTACATATAGTATGCATATATATAGGGATAATTTTGGACAAGTTAAGATATATATTTGTAAATTTCCATCGCGACGCTTATTTATTGTATTTATACCTTTATTTTATTGAGTTTTGTTGTAAAGTATATATGCGTATATGCAAATTTATTCGATTTATATGTTACATATTGTATGCATATATATAGGGAGATTTCTGGACATGTTAATATATATATATGTGTCAATTTCTATCGCGACGCGTATTTATTGTATTTATACCGTTATTTTATTGAGTTTGGTTATAAAATATATATGCGTATATGTAAATTTAGTCAATTTATATGTTACATATAGTATGCATATATATAGGGATAATTTTGGACAAGTTAAGATATATATTTGTAAATTTCCATCGCGACGCTTATTTATTGTATTTATACCGTTATTTTATTGAGTTTGGTTATAAAATATATACGCGTATATGTAAATTTATTCGATTTATAGGTTACATATAGTATGCATATATATATAAAGGTGTATATTTTTATCTATTAATATATGTTAATTTTTCGTCCTGACGATTGTTTATTACGTCTCTACTTTTATTTTATTGGATTTTGTTATAAAATATGTATGCATATGTGTATATGTAGTCAGTTCATATGTCACATATAGTATGCATATATATGTATATAGAGGTATGATACTGGATAATAGTATAATATTAATAGAGAATACTTTGTTAATGCTTAATTATAAAAGAGAAGTCGATGTATTAATTTGGTTTGCATTCATGCGAGCGCGAATTTAGATCTTCCCTCTGCCTTTAGGTCGGGAGAGGATGTTTAAAAATTCCAATGGAGATAACGCGACGTGCTGGACTTGGCCTTGCACGCTTGTTCGACTCGTAGAGTTATACGCATAATATTCTTTGTGCAATATTATTCGTAAGTACACGTATTATTTCTCTATTTCTCTCGTGTTTTCACGTTTTATTTCCTTTGACTTAATGATATATGTATATTATGCATGGTAAGAAGTTGCTGTCATTATATTCATTGTTGAAATTTTTTTATTTTTATTTAATAAAGTTTTTAAATTTAGATTCTAATTTTTGAGTGTTATTTCACACGTTATGCAGCTGGGCCTTATTCATTTCTTGGAAGATTTTAGTCTTACATTATTAAATTTGCATATGTTCATATGCACGTATATATATATGTATTTATATATATACAGGGCGATCCCGAAAAACCTTCCGTCTTTAAAATGACGTATTCCTGACACTATTCTAAGACAATTTTTTCTTTACCAAAATTTGATTTGAAGCGTAGTTTTTGAGTTATAAGCAAAAATAGTTAGTAAATCACGCGTCGAGTACAGGAGGCAGGCAGGGGCGGCCCGGCGCGCCGTGAACGCGGGCGCAGCTGATCGCCCGACAGGCGATTACCACTGCATGAGTCACTAACTATTTTATCTTATAACATAAAATTATGCTTTAAATAAAATTTTAAAGAAGAAAATGTCTTAGAATTACATCAGGAATACGTGTTCCTTAAAATAATGTTAATTATTAAAAGTTATTCCGGATCGCCGACCGTCGAACGCTGTAATCAGCTGATTGCTACATGCGATGTGTGTATGGTGGAGTGTGTGCGTAAAAGAGAGAGAGAGAGAGAAAGAGAGAGAGAGAGAGAAGGGGAGGAAGGGTAAGGGTGAGAAGGTTTTAGCCGATTGTTCGTCTTATCTCGCGTCAATCACGCGCCACGCGCAAGGCGTTTATTGTTAGATGTCGCGTGTCGCGTTTCTGGCAACACATAACCCTCGTGGTCGCGCAGTCTCCGCGGTCCGTCGCTTCGCGTCGAGTCATGTGTTCTCTCGCATTCGCGTTTCTTTTAAAGTAATTTTAAGTCTCGATAAAACGATGGGAATCGAGTGAGTAATAAACAGTAAACTCGTTATCGCGTAATCTGTGTCAATCGAGTGTAAGAGTGTTTCGAAGTGAGAAAGTTTCGATGTGCCGCGCATCTCTAACAATCAGCGGTGCAGCGATCTAATAATCGTGCAGCAGTTACAACAATACGTAGCATGAAGATTCGCTACGCTGCTACCAGGTGAGTGAGCAATAAGTAAGCAGAGTAAGTGAGTGAGTGAGTGAGAGAATGAGTGACTAAATGACAGAGTGTTGTAAAAGAGAGAGAGAAAAAAGTGTATGCGTACGTGCGTACGTGTGTATGAATGTCTGTCCCTTTTACCCTTCCTCCCTCTCTCTCTCTCTCTCTTTCTCTTTCTCTCTCTCTCTCTCTCTCTTTCTCTCTCTCTCTCTCTCTCTCTTTTACGCACACTCCGCCATACACACATCGCATGTAGCAATCAGCTGATTACAGCGTTCGACGGTCGGCGATCCGGAATAACTTTTAATAATTAACATTATTTTAAGGAACACGTATTCCTGATGTAATTCTAAGACATTTTCTTCTTTACCAAAATTTTATTTAAAGCATAATTTTATGTTATAAGATAAAATAGTTAGTGACTCATGCAGTGATAATCGCTTGTCGGGCGATCAGCTGCGCCCGCGCGCGCCGGGCCGCCCCTGCCTGCCTTCTGTACCCGACGCGTGATTTACTAACTATTTCTGCTTATAACTCAAAAACTACGCTTCAAATCAAATTTTGCTAAAGAAAAAATTGTCTTAGAATAGTGTCAGGAATACGTCATTTTAAAGACGGAAGGTTTTTCGGGATCGCCCTGTATATATACGTATAAGAGTGCTCATATGTGAATGTTCGTGCATTTTACAATTGTGTATATACATTTTATATTCATAGTAGCTATAGATGTCCATCCTTAATATTATTATTTTATTTATTCAGGCGATACTTTTGCCAGGGGGGTACCCGGTGAGTAGGAACACGAATATAGGGTGTCCATATATTTTCGTCATATGAAGACTTACTAGTAAGTAATATTCTGACATAATTATACTTAATAAGGTTTGGTATTATGAAATTTTGTCATTAAAGTACTTGAAAAAGGGGGATTATTATAGTTGAAAACTTTTTATATGAAGTGTTAATATTTTATAAGGCTTGGTACATGCATTCATATATAGAAGAGTGTGATCGTAAATGTTCATGGTTGATTTTTGATGATGTTCATTGGCCTTATTCTGATTTTTTAATTATTTTAATCTAAATTTTATATTATTTTGTTCATTTATGCTAGTTGGTTTTTCTTTCTTTTCATTGGCTCATGTGTATATGCCTTAAGCATATAGATGCTATCCATTTTGTTATACTTAATGCTTTGCAAATTTTTATAAAATATTGACAGCCTCGTGTTAGAAATTATTATTCTTATGACCAAATATTATTTTACATTAATTTTTCAGGCATCCAGGAGGGGGGTCATGTGACTTCGTCATATAAGGTATTCTTATTTGATTTTCAGGTAAGATCACTTTAAATTATTATTTGTGTTATGGGCCGCTAGTATTTGGTTAAATTTCGTTATTAGCTTATTATAAGTGAATATTTTATTTGTTAAGGTCTTATTATTCATTTATTATTGGTTATAAGAGTGGATGCATATATATATATATAGATATATATATATATATATTCATATGTATAATTGTTAGAATTATTTTGTAGAATTTGAAGCTAGATTTTACTACCAAAATTTTGTTTCTGAAATTTTCTTATCGTTAATATTTTTATTAATTTATGGTCTAAGAACATATATTCATTTTTGTTTGGTTTTAGGTGTCAACAGGTTTAGCAAGAAAAACAAGCAGTGCTGAATTAAAATGTTGATGGTCAAGGATATATTATTATTTCTAAGGGTAAGTCTTATTAAAATTTATGCAAATTCATTATTGTTATTATTATTGTTATTAGTGTTATTATTATTATTTGCATTTAAGCAATTTCAATTTTAATCATAGAGAATTATTAGTACCATATAATTTATTAGTTTTATCAATTGTTAAATTTTGGTTATTATCTTACGTTTTTATTTATAATTTTGTCTTTACAAGTTTCATAGGATATTTATTAAATATTCATTGTTAGTTGGGGATTAATATATATATATCTTGTAATTTTTCAATGGCACTTAAATTATATTATTATAAAATATTTTAACATTTATTGTTCTTGTATTTGTTATGTTATCCTTGTGACGATATTAAGTCGGATACTAGTAATTTTGATTTTAATGATATTATTTAGAGGGAGAGTTCGTTTGATATTTATACGATTTTGTTTTGTATTTCGATTATTAGTATCGCGATATTATTTAGTGCATAGCTATTATTTATTTGGTTTTATGATTTATAGGTTATACTGGGAGCAGTATATCGATGGTCAATGGAAAATAAAATATTATCGTCGTGAGGGGTTACATCTATATACCCAATATGTTGGAATTATTATCCCAGAGATGTATACGAGAGCGTTTTCACCCAAGTTTGGACGTCATTTTTTTGATGAATTAGTCGACTAGTGTGGTGATCTACTTGGTCATGGTATCATAATTATATTATTTTTATAATTCTATTGTAAAAGATCTCGAAGTTACAACACTTTTGTTTGGTAAATTTGATTGTTAGCATCATATTTATACTTCTAGCGAGTAGGGACTGTTATTTTAGAACTATATACGGGAGCATATTAGGACGTGTACTTATTTTGATTAATTAGTCGATTAGTACGTTGATCTACTTGGTAATGGGATCACAATTATGCCCTTAGTATATCTCTATTGTAAAAGATATCGAAGTTACAAACATTTTAAATTTTTGTTTTTGGGGTTGCCTTTAAAATTTTACTGCTAGAATAATCACCGGGGAAGCTACTAGAAGGTCGTCAGATTTTTATCGTTAATCTTTATTCGTTTAATGAATTATCCTAACAAAGTCTACGCCAAGTATTGGCTTTATTTTGTATTAATTGTTTTATTTCTTTTACAGGTTACCGAATGGGAGCGTACATGTATTTATATACGGGGAGGAAGAGGGTTGATGGATCAACATTTCTACGTCGAAAATTATAGGGGTTGTTTCAACGCATAATTTTATAAATATATATATATATAAACATATATATATATATATATGTTTTTAGTTAAGACATCGGTGTTGTAAGGATTTTTGATTATATAAGTATTTTTAATGGTACTACTATAAGACGTACCTATTAATATTATGTTATTATATTTTTAGCACGTTTTAATTATTATATTTTTAATTATTTAAAGGCGATTGTGTTGCTTTTATGATTATATAATATGCTTTGCCTGTCATGTACTATGCATATTAATTATTTAATCAATTCTGCCAAGTAATTTATCAAGTCTGTCGCTAAAATTAAATTTTATCGTTAATATTTGATTCTTCCAATTATATTTTATTATTGATGTTTCATTAAAATTTTGAGATTCGTTAACTAATTAATTTTTCTCTTTCAGGTGCAGGACTACCGTGGCTTTACTTTTAAATGATATTTGGATTTGTCGATGTCGAGGTGGATGATTATTAAAAATCGCTCACATCGCGGGATTTTATATAGATCTTGATTGTTAGTATTAATTTCTTTTTAGAGGAAGTTAAGGAATACAAGGTTTAAAATTATATTATTAATTAACAAGAATGTGTATACGTATATGTATCAAAATTTTAATATTGGTTTGTATGTCTTAAGGTATTAATTTTATAAACGGCATACAATAAGATTTTATAAATGTTGATACTTTTGCTTTATATAAATGAAATATTGAATTATCATTGATCATATAATAATTTTAAATTTTGATTAATGCATTAAGATTTCGATTGTTCATATATCAAAATGATTTTATCTAATTTATTACAATTTGCTTAGGAATACTGTTGCTGGAAATATCTTTTATTAAATTCTCATTGGTCAAAGCATTGATTTCTCAAGGGATTATTATTTTGTCTTAGTTTATTCGCGATATCCGTGTAGGGCAAAAATCGTCGTGTTTAATATATGTACATGTATGTGTATTAATTGTATTTTTATTATATATTTTTCCTACACGTTATTAGAGAATATATATATATATATATTCATTGGGAAAAGGGAAGCTTATAAATCATTTCATATTTATGGTTTGATAATCGTGAAGAAATTACATAAGTAAGCGTAAATATTTCCCTTTATTTTATTATTTTACATATTTATAATGTTAACTTATTATTTCTTTTGTTAATTCTTATGCGTTAATTTTCATTGATATTATAAGGGATTGCATATATTAATTATACGAATTTAGTTTTCTATAACATGGCGATTGACTATTATTGTTAATAATTTGCTTTACGCGTATTTATTTATAATTAGGTTATGTAGTATATGCATGTGTCCGATTTAAATATTATTAAAATTTATGTCCTCGGTTATTGGTAGGACATTTGTCATGAAATAATTTAGTATTAATGTACAGCGTTAAATTGAGAAATTTTATATTTTGATTATATTATCTTGGAGGGTCATTATCCTCTTCAATTATTTTATAGGAAATTGTATATAGACCTTTTATTAATTACTTTTTTTCTTTTTCAGGTTTCTAGTGGTGAGAATCTACATTTAAGAGAGTGTTTACGCGAGAGAGAGAGAGAGATGTTCAAGCCTATGATTTGTGCTACAAGATTCCAACGATATATATATATATAAGCATAGACGTTCTTATTATTATATTTTTATTTATTCTTTTGGTTCAACAAAATGTTTTATAAATTAATTTTATTTCATCGAGAAAAAAAAACTCTTATTAATTTCTGGTTAGCACATACTATATTTATTTAATAAATTCTGTATGTCATAAAGAATAGTTGGGGGACTTTTATTTATCCGACAGATCAAATAGAAACAGATACGGATTTTAATTTTATTTAATTTATTCTCTTGAATTTTAAGTCATTATATTTATAAATTTTGTTGATGATCAACAGGTACATTTTGTTGTTCCGTTTGGTGTATCTATGTGTATGTCTCATTTAATAATTAGGTTAGTAGGATCAATATAGCGATTTTATTTCAATATATGTAATAGAATTAATCATGATCAGATATATATATGTGGGTAGCGTATGTATATTTTGAGTAAAGTATAATTTGAGTGATATTTGAGTCTTATAGTTCTCCTAAATAGTAATGGAGATGTTAGACACAAAATTTCAGATATACAGGTGAGGCAAAAGTATGGAAACCCTAAATTTTCGAAAACTATGCATTTAGAAACAAATGTTTCAGACAAAAGGTTTAAGTAATGCATTACGTAGCAATATCAGTGTAACCTTGAATAGCACGTCAAGGTCACATAAAATCACTTTGATTTTTTAAATGGAATCCCCTATTTTCATTGCATATTCTTGTAGCTTATCTCGAGAGTTTTCCAAAACACTATAATTAAGTACCTTTTTATTGAATACTTTCTGAGTTATAAGACTTGAAATCATTTCTTAATTTTATATAAACCATAAAATATCTAGTAAACCATTCATTTTTCGATTATCTTACCTTCATACTTTTATGTACAAAATAATGAGAGGAATCAATTGGTGTAAAGAAAACACATAGTTGTTTCTAAGAAAAAATATGTAATTTGCAATTAACAATTCCATATTTTTTCTTAAAAACAACTGTATGTTTTCTTTACACCAATTGATTCCTCTCATTATTTTGTACATAAAAGTATGAAGATAAGATAATCGAAAAATGAATGGTTTACTGGATATTTTATGGTTTATGTAAAATTAAGAAATTATTTCAAGCCTTATAACTCAAAAAGTACTTAATAAAAAGGTACTTAATTATAGTGTTTTGGAAAGCTCTCGAGATAAGCTACAAGAATATGCAATGAAAAATAGGGGATTCCATTTAAAAAATTCAAAGTGATTTTTATGTGACCTTGACGGTGCTATTCAAGGTTACACTGATATTGTTACGTAATGCATTACTTGAAACCTTACAACCTTTGTCTGAAACATTTGTTTCTAAAATGCATAGTTTCGAAAAATTTAGGGTTTCCATACTTTTGCCTCACCTGTATATGTATATATAAGAGGCGGTATTTATGCTTGTTTAAAAATGTAATCTTATTTCAACAAATCTGTTGGTCATGGTATTAGAGTTTATTATTAGAAGTGTCATGTATAAGAGTTATAATTTTTCTTTTGAACGTATTGTACGTTTGTTCTCGGTTATTTGTTCGTAATGTAATGAGTACGTATTTTTACTGAGTGGCTTTATATGAATATATATATATGTCACTATTGTAAAGACGATTTTATTTAGTTTTTGTGCAGAGTTTATTTTATTAATTATTTGTATTAAGCATTTTTGCTTGTAAATCAAGTCTTTGCGTCTCCTTTTATATGGTTAGGTCCTTAAGGTTATACTGTTAATAATTATTTAAAAGGGGCTTGTGGAGCAATTCTATTAATGTTAATCGTTGAGGGTTTTGATTCTTACTTTATAAGAGTGTTTCTTGTCTCTACTGGAAAATATGGGATTACTAGATTTGGCTTATATCGATGGGTTTTCCTTTTACAGATTCTTAAAATTGGGGATCTATGTACGAGTATATGCGTATGAAGGCGGAAAATATTCTAACTATTTGAAGAGTGCGGATTATATATACTTATCGGAAGGATAATTGATTTTACACTTCACGATACTTTAACTAGAACTTAAATCTATTCTACGTAAGTATATATATTTTCTTTTTCTTTCTTTTCATATATTGTGTTTTTTTAATTTTATTTCATCTATTGTGGTTTTTTTTTTTGTTAACAAAATGAATCGTTATCGAATCTGTTTCATCACGATTGATTGTTTGAATAATGAAAGATATTTGTAAATATATATATATTCTAGATTTGAAATTCTTTACATTATTGTGGCTTTAAGATTTTCAATATTTTTAATTAAAGTTTATTCAATAAGTTTCCAATGATAACGGTTAGGTCCATTTTGTTAGATTTTGTCTATATATATATATATATATTTAAATATATTTGCTAATGCTGGTTTTACGGTTAGTTCCACTAGTATAACGAAATTTTATATAGAGTAATGACGATATGATAATATTATAACATTTTATTGATATTTTCTATAATTTTCAGGTATTCTGTAGCGACTTTCAATGAGTGTACTACACATATGCTGTCAGCGAGGGACAGATATATATATATAGACGTTATTATATAACAATAGTAGGTAAAGATTATGATATAGATATAGTTTTGGAATTTTAATATGCGATATAGTGTAGTATAAAGATTTTGAAAATTTTTCATTGCGGGACGTAACAGTAGATTTGCAAGGGAGC